AATTTGTTATCATAGATAAGCGATAAATTGTGCAAAACAGCACATGCTATTATAATTGAAGTACAGCATATTAGCCTATTTGTTAATCCTCTTGATAAACAAGGAAATCGACGTTTCCACACACCAAATGTTCTTTCAACTATTCTTCGAGTTTTACTCTGAACGATATTATATGTTTGTTCTGCATTGGTTAATGGATTTGCAATTGGTGTAAGTAGAAATGGTAAGCATGGATATCCTGAATCTCCTACGAGTGAACCAGTCAATTGATGTTCATTATACCGCACATACAGTCTTGAATTTTGAAAAATTCTACTATCGTGCTGACTTCCGGGCCATTGTGGCACGATGTCCAGAAATTCCATGCGTGGTCCAACAACTGCTTGTACATTCAACGAGAAATATCCTTTACGATTTCTATAAATTTCTGCAACTTCATGAAATCTTGTATTAGTCAAACGGATATGTGTACAATCGATAGCTCCATCAATCCCCGAGAGTCCGTTTATATTTCCAGTAGCTCCTATTAATCGAAATAGCTGTCGATTTTCAATTTTATTTTGTTCAGTTTGTGGCATCTTGATTACATCAAACATTTCAGCTGCAAGTAATACGGATACTTTTGATACAACCCGAGATATAGTTGGCTGAGAAAGAGATAAGAGATCTGCTGCGACGAGCTATTAAAATACAATATTTTCTTATAATATTAAATTTAAATAGATTGATTTATTGCGTGGTATTCTATATAATTATAATTAATTACCCGTACAAATAAAATTTAATTTATTAATTTATCTCAACCTGATAGCTTGCTGTCGCATAGAATCGTAGACATATCAAGAGCTGAAATTCAGGACATACTGGTAATCCACGATTGTTAATTTTTGTAAGTGATTCACGAATTCTTGGCAATATTCCTTGCAAGATACTATCTTTATTAAACCGAAATCGCCTTTTGAATTCCACATCGTTGTAATATTCGAACGGATTTTGCATGTCTCGTATATATCTCTTCGGTACACGTATAATCGGTGCCTCTTCTAATTCTTCTAAATTTCTCAAAAATACTTCGGGTATATTAGGAAGATCAATGTTTAAATT